CCGTCTGTCATTTTTCAATGTTCCACACAGCTTACATAAATTCATCTAAAGGTGGTACAACACAAGATTCAAACAAATAAAATATATCAGTTTTTCTCTGACTAGATATGCGGATTTGAAGAATGCTTTCGACCCAGTCTAGACCGGTTCGCACTGAAAGCTTTAAAGAGCCGTGGAATAAAAAAGATACAGACCTCATCGCCATGATTTACAACGATGCGATGGTTAAGATAAAATTTCATAAGAATACCAGCGAATTCAAAATCGAAAGAACGGTTTGAGAGGGTGATGCAGTATCATCTAAGCTTTACATAACAATAGTGGGGGTGATTCAATTATGCAAATCAAGGCCTGAAAATGAATGGGCACTACTTATGCCATTTATCGACGAAGATTTGATTCCACAATGACTGCAGAAGAATTCTGGAAGAAAATTCACATGCTAAACGATCCAGCATCAGAACAAAACCGAAAATGAGCCAGAAGAAGAATGAGGTCATTTTAACAAAAAAGTGACTCAAGTGACCAGTTGAATTTAGTGGACCGAAGTTTAAAGCGATGAAAAGCCTACGTCTGGGTTAGAGCATCCTCGCTCGATCTCCAGCTCGGTTGAGGAAATGATAGATAGTAGCTTATGCTATTAGTACATGCCAAGTTCAGCACCCGTTATTTCCACCAAGAGATTCTCTTTCGCATTCTTGACAAAGCTACGACGCTCAGCGGACCACTTATAAGAGCTGACAAAACGAGAAAGCGCCGTCAAGTTATGGAGAGCGATGCGAGGAGTTACCACCACCAGAGGGGAAGGTGATTAAGCTAATCTATTCGGCAGCATCAAAGATTGCGACTTTATGTCCAACGGTTGCAGGGAAGTTTTTGGAATAAGGAGGGAAGAAACGGTCAGAGGAACGTCAAGTATTCACGTGCAAAGAGCAGAAGTGAAACGAAAGATTAATCATTAAATGACGACTAATTACTTCCGCGTAGCCGTTTCTGGCTACACCGCAATAATAATAATTTCTAAAGGAATTTAATTTTGAAGTTTTTAAGCTCCTGGAAAAAATCGCTGAACCATAACAAACGTAAAATGCAATATGACAACCATACTGTACTCGAACAAGCAACAACGCTGAATATCGTTACTCACCTTTTCACTGTTCACTGTGCTGGCGTTGATTATGGTTCCTACGTGGCTAAATCAGCGGCATTTTGTTGCTGTCTAGTAGCAGTTGAGTCACTGCGATATTCAAGTTTATCCATCAATTTCAATTCTACGAGTTTATATAATGATTTGAACATTTAATGGTTGAAAGACTAACTGATATCAGAATAAGGAAATTTTGCAGTGATATACCTTCGCTGAATATAACAGAAATACAGCTATGTTGCACAAAAAACTGATAGCGAATATTATACTTCTGCAGTAGATGCTGAGGGCAAGACGAAAGCGTTGAAATGTTAGGAGAAAGGCAGATGGTCATTACTGAATAATAACCGAGGGGAAGTCTACAGATGACCCTCCATTTAGCTGAAGAAAAATCGTGAAGTTGAAGATCTAGTTATTCATGGTGTTATTTGCTCAACATGACGGCTCAATGGTTTTGTCATACCGACCGATGGACGTCAATAATTACAAATGGGGTTCCGCTTGACCACAAACGTCCACTCGGTCCTGCAAGAACATGCTGGGACGAACCGATGGTCGAATCGCCCGTCAGAAAATTGACAACAGAGAATAGTGGAGGAGCGTCCATTTGCATTCATGGCAGATCCGTATTGAAGAGAAGTCAGATAAAGGATGGTGTTGTAAGAGAAGTAAAGGTAAATAATTAATAAATAATCAAAAAATGAATGAATGAACGAGGGAATAAATGATTAAAGGACGGCACAGCAAAGAAGAGAAAACCGAATAAATGAATGACTGAATGAACAAATAAATACGTAAATATATGAATGAAGAAATGCACCAAAGTTCGAACAAATGAGACAGTTAAGTCAATAATTAAGGAAGAAACGAAGAAAGGAAGCAAGAAATACACGAATAAAACATGAATAAACAAAAGAATAGATGAATGAATGAATCAACCGTTTAGGCAAACAATTAAGCAATAAACTAGAGGACTGAATGCATATACAAAATGAATGAATGAAGCAGTGAGTGGACGAATAAACAAATTAACAAAGGAACGAGTAAAGAAAGGTATGAAAAAATCAAAAATATAACGAAATAGCAAGCGAATCAATGAAGAAATTAATGAAATAATTAAGGAACAAACAAAGGAACAAGTTTATGAATGAATGAATGAGAATATAAGGGAATAGTTATGAAGGAAGGAAAGAAAGAGATAAACCACGAACGAATGAAGGAATGAACGAACAGATAAAATCAAAAAAAGGAAGAAACAATGAACGAATGAATTAATGAATCAATCCGTCAGTGAAAAGCTGAACGGCAACATACATACAATTCGCTTAACGAAAGCATGGTTTTAGAATATTCACAAAGTGGCTTAATGCATCGCGACTGCTGAACTGTCCTGAAATTGTTTCATTATAATTTCATTCTTAAAGTGCTTCCGCCTTGAACTCAGTGTAATGTCTCAGATTAGCTTTAATTCTCAGGACGTTTTTCCCCAATGCATAACATAAACGACAGTTCTGCGACCGTCATTATCTACGTCTTTAAGAGTGCAATTCGTTGAGACGTAAAATAATTTTTTGTTATTCCGACGTCTCAAATTCTGTCACAGAATTCATCGGAGCAAATCAACGACGATGGTTTCAAACCGGTAGGCCACATCGTGCCGAAAGCCGCCGTTTTGTTAAGGAGATGGGC